CATGAAACTATTATGTGTCACAAACACTTTTCACGGTATTTTCTCCTCTCAAAACTTTCGACATTTACAGCTCTATTACTGGATGTTTGTTATGTGAAGTTGTTTAAAAGCAGTGTTTGATTTTAAGGACCCATAAATATCCAGGTTATGGTTGGTCTTCAGGAACCCATGTTGTATGAAGCAACTATGAGTGTAGCAATATCAAATGGTCAGAACACCTAACTGTGTAGACTAACTAGACTGGGTCTCTGAAATGAACCTATTTTACAGAAAAAAGGTTTTAACTAAAATGAAATACAACAAAAAGGAACCCAGTGACTTTCTTCATTTTTCTGAAACTGTTGTAATCTAGACTTGCCACACATTCTAGACTTGCATGGGCTACATTGGGTATATATGTTTCAGGGTCTGTATAACCCCAGAAACTTTCTTCATTTTCCTGAAACTGTTTTAATCTAGACTTGCCACACATTCTAGACTTGCATGGGCTACATTAGGTATATATGTTTTGAGGGTCTGTATAACCCCAGTGACTTTCTTCATTTTCCTGAAACTGTTGTAATCTAGACTTGCCACACATTCTAGACTTGCATGGGCTACATGTTTCAGGGTCTGTATAACCCCAGAAACTTTCTTCATGAAACTGTTTTAATCTAGCTAGACTTGCATGGGCTATTAGGTATATATGTTTTGAGGGTCTGTATAACCCCAGTGACTTTCTTCATTTTCCTGAAACTGTTGTAATCTAGACTTGCCACACATTCTAGACTTGCATGGGCTACATTGGGTATATTTGTTTCAGGGTCTTTATAACCCCAGGAACTTTCTTCATTTTCCTGAAACTGTTGTAATCTAGACTTGCCACACAATCTAGATTGCATGGGCTACATTAACCCTTTCAACACCGCAGGCCGCTTAAGCGGCCACAACGTTATGAGTCCCCAGACACCGGAGGCCGCTTAAGCGGCCAGGCAGTAGTCACGTCAAAATGAGACATAATTTTAGGAACTTACCTGACTTATGATTCATATATTAAATCCATCACATTTCACAATGTCTGTAAACACTTATTAAATTTCAATTGATCATATATTATCGGCAGAATTAAAATTATAAACTATTTTTCGCGAATGTAATTGAAAACAACGATTCTCGACACATGCTTAGGGAGCTGGTCCACAATAACATTGTCAAAGAGCAAAGTAACGATGGTTCGAGGAAATGATTAAATAAATAGAATAAACTAATGAATAAAATCAACAACAGCATTCATAAAAGTTGTCAAACGCACATATAAAATTACTTTTTCCATCTTTTTGTGCGATCATGTAATGCAAGTCAAGTCACTGACAAGTGACATCTCGCTCGCCTACTCAATCTTCACTACGGACACGATGTTTAATGCGAAAATATATGCATGAAGCATTTTGTCACAGGTCATAACCTAGCACGATATCCAATAAGTCCCATAATTTACGTGATATGTAGCATTTTTGCTTAATATGTTCAGAATAGCATTATTTTACCCAAAACTTTCGCCTAAATCTAAAAGTTTTTCATTTCACGAGGACGTATCCATTGCCGTGAATATGATTGGCTGCCTTAGGTCACGGTCTGATTTTGACCAATCATGCACCCTTATAGCAGACTGTAGCTTAAAAAGCGCCATTAGAAACCAATTTTTATCCAATAAAATCGCTTCTTACAACTGTGAAAATACTCGGCAAGGGTTCAGTGATGTTGTTGATGTTCAGAGCTTTCAAACGATATTCGCATCAAACGATTCGCCTCCCATGTTATTCATAATGAAGCTTCAAAACGGAGGTATTTTCCGTTGTTATGTCATGTTACCGAGCGGAAAGCCACAGATATCGGGAAATAGGCTTACCATACATATTATTTAAGAAATCTTTTATAATAATTTTCTGGTTACGTAAAAGTGAAAATATAAAAGAAAAAGGCACGGGCATGTTATGACATGTCACAAATGGAAAAAATCGCCTTTAGTTTTTGCTTCTTTTCGTGGTTTATCTGGACGCTAAAAATGTAAGCTTGCATTTTCATTCAAAATAATTTTATTTAAGTTGTAGTTGTATTATTTGAATAATATTATAAAAATAAACTTCATATTTATCAACAGTAGGATTAGATCTTTTAAATGGTGTATGGGATGTAGTAGCAATAACGTTTTACAAGCTTATAATTTCCTTCATAAACATAGGCTTCATCTATGACCTCAGAGTCTCTGGGAACTCGGTGTCATGGCAGTAAATGCCTCTGGTTGACTGGTGTTGAAAGAGTTAAGTATATTTGTTTCAGGGTCTGTATAATCCCAGGTACTTTCTTCACTTTCCAGAAACTGTTGTAATCTAGACTTGCCACACATTCTAGACTTGCATGGGCAACATTGGGTATATTTGTTTCAGGGTCTGTATAACCCCAGGTACTTTCTTCACTTTCCAGAAACTGTTGTAATCTAGACTTGCCACACATTCTAGACTTGCATGGGCAACATTGGGTATATTTGTTTCAGGGTCTGTATAACCCCAGGTACTTTCTTCACTTTCCAGAAACTGTTGTAATCTAGACTTGCCACACATTCTAGACTTGCATGGGCAACATTGGGTATATTTGACTGCGGATCGTGAATCATAGCATCAGTTGTCTCATCCAGACTTGATCACTTAGTGATCAACATCATATATTGAGGAAATTGCTGAGTATGGCATTAAACCAGGGTATGAAACTCCCAAAACTTTCAGCTAGACCACAGGGATGGTTAGGTGTAAAACTTGCCAGCCCTGACCAAAACTTTCAGCCAGACCACAGGGCTGGTTAGGTGTAAAACTTGCCAGCCCTGACCAAAACTTACCTGCCCGCAAATAATTTAGGTTTGACAAGCAACGTAGTTTGTCATCCAATTGGAACTCATCATTTATTTTTACATGTGAATTAATAATGATTCATTACCCAGAAATATGATGAATACCTTTATATACATGTATAAATTTTACCCTGACCGTCAGGCAGGTGAATTTGAGAATTTGGAAGTCCATGTTGAAAATAACCCGTCCTGGGTGGCCGGGCAGGCAGGTATTTCAAACACTGATTAAACACCAAACAATAAAATATAACGGGTGAATCCTCTGGTGTCTTAATGTCTTTAGTGTTTCTTAAATCCAGAAACCCCCAAATGTTTTAACATTTTTATAAGACAAGGATCTCTTTACCTCCATGCTTGATTCAGATGTGTCCCAAGTTTAACCATATCATATGATGTCCTTTTCATTTTGAAAATGGGACTGTTGCCAGTGTAGCCCCTGTCACTGGATCGTCTGGTGCAAACAGGATTATTTACCTTCACATAGGTGGAATGTTGCTGAATGCGACAACCTTCATCCATTATAGTTTGAAAGAGGGGTTATTCCCAGTCTACTCTGTCCCCCTGATAACATGGCCCCAGTCTGATGTGTAGTTATTTGCTACATACAGATAAGCCAACAGTTATTAGCTTCCTGAATATGAGAGGACTCCTGGCAGCTCAGTATGTGTTTGCTGTCAGAATACTGGTCTTATTTTATGTATTTCTTTAAATAAACATAATCTTGGGAGCCAGTGGTGATTAGATACTTGTGTCAGATCTCATAAACCTACTTTAGAGCAACTTGAGTTTTTCTGGAAACTTGAGATAAAACAGATGAGCTCAACTACTTCAGCGCCTGACCTTTCAGTGGAGATCTTTCACTGCCATAGTTATTGAAAAACTTGTGTTACATCTCTGATGCTCAATTTGAGACATTTCTCAACAATCCTCCCCAAACTCATAATGGGAAATATATGTATAGTCAGATGAATGAGAACCCTTCTTGTCCATCTAGAAATGTCCATTTTGTCAGGATTTGGGTACTGATGACACACAAGCTGTAAAATCTCATCACCTTTTCCAGATTAGTTGACCTGTGAAGATTCCAGGTTAGAACTGGATCGTCTGGGCTTCACACATTGTACCCATGTGGGGAATTGAACCAGGGATGAGTGAACGCTCTAACCACTAGGCTACCAACAGCCCCAGTAAAAGACGAGAATAGGATACGTTGATTGTTTTTCTAAATACAGGTGTATGCTGAGGGGTTAGACTAAGGCTTAGTCTCTGAATATATATAATTTTGATAGTAACAAACAAGCCCGTTAAAATTGAAAAGGAGCCCTAGGTAGACCAGAACCTGGGGGAAATCTAGACTTGCTTTATTTAGGGCTTTAGCACTGCAGAGAGGGCTTGGCAGTGGGGAAAATAATGTGGTTCAGGGACTGTGAGACAGACTAGCTGAGGGGTCTGTAAATCTCTAGTAGAGACCACCACCTTGATTTTCATACACAGGGATGGTGAAGTAGCCTAGTAAAGATTATAAATATTTCCCAAACAGAACATTTGTGTATGAAAAAGTCCTGCAGTTTCTCAAGTCAGAATACGGTGAGAATAGAAGACAGTTATTGTTTATCTAAATACAGGTGTAAGCTCTGGGATCTGTAAGCCTGTAGGGGGGTTGATGAGGTAGCATAGCAATGTGCAAAATTACGCTGGTCCTGTGGTCCCTGGCTAGTAAAAATTCATCAGGACCACTAAATACTCAGTTTGCAGTGGTCCTGGTGGCCTGAATTTTGTATTGATAGTAAATGTACGAATGTAATTTTGGACCAGTGAAGTATAGACAGAACCACTACTTATTGTCCACTCACTGGTCCTGTGGTCTAGTGGGAAGTTTTGAAAGATTTCTTTCCCTGCATAGTGGTTAAAGTGTTTGCTCATCACGCTGAAGACCCGGTTCAATTCCCAAAATGGGTACAATGTGTGAAGCTCATTTTCTAATGTCCGATATCATAATATTGCAAAAATATTGCTAAAAGCAGTATATAACCTAATTTACTCACTCACTGATAACCACTGTAAATAAGCTAAATGATTGTTCCAGTCCTACACACATTGGTTTCTGTCCTTGCAGGTTGTATGACAACTACTCCTTCCAAGTTATTCCTGTGATGGGGCAGCTGATAGCAGGAGACTGGAAGTCCTACCAGTACCTGGTGGAGAGCATCAGGCAGTTCCCCAACCAGGTCAGTCCCTATCAGTCTCGGTCATTCCCAATCTCTGTCAACCAAATCATTCTCAGTCTCTGTTGGTCTCGATCAGTCTTCATCCCCCTGAACCTAATCTCCCTCAGTCTCTCTCATTCAAATCTCTCTTAGTCTTTGTCTCTCTCAGTCAATCCCTGTCTCTTTCTGTCCTCAACCAAAGCTCTCACTGTATCTCTCAGCTTAATCTCTCAGCTTAATCTCTCTTTGTCTGTCTCGGTCAGTCCGTCTCTCGCCTCTACCAAATCTCTCTCAGTCTCTCTCCATCAAATCTCTCTCAGTCTCTCTCAACCAAATCTCTCTCAGTCTCTCTCAACCAAATCTCTCTCAGTCTCTCTCAACCAAATCTCTCTCAGTCTCTCTCAACCAAATCTCTCTCAGTCTCTGTCTCAAGCAGGTCAGTCATCAGTCCAGCACTATCTGTTCTGTTGTTTCAAATGAAGGAGATTGCAGAAAGGCTGTGAATCAGTCAATTCTTTCGACAAGATATGTTAAAAAAAGTCTGAATTTCTTGTCACATATTTCCTCTGCAGCGAGTGATTTTCCCCCAAAGCAGTAAATGTCAATGGACACCATCACTGGTTTTAATCCTCCCACACCAACTGACACACCATGCTATTTCTGAAATATTGTTCAAAATGGCCTTAAAGCTCACTCCCTAGTTTGTTTATCCTCTCTTTGAACTAAATCATTGAACAAATGCAGTCATCTGTTGGTCCAGGAGGTAGGGAATTACTGGTACCTGACATTTGACTCATGTAGAACCTGGCTTGAGAGAAGATTAAAAGACATGTGCAGTATATATAACACATACCAGATAGTGATATTCACTGCTGTGTGAACCACCCACTCACTTGGACTCTCTGCACAGCGTGGGTTATCACACTTGGCAAATTATCATACATTAGACATAAACAGCTCTGAGATTTGTCTCTTAGTCAGGGATGTCACAGACGTCAAAGAGCCATGAAGATCCGGGTTAGAATGAATCTTCAGCAACCCATGCTTGTTGTAAGACTAAGAGGCAACTAACAGGATCGGGTGGTCAGGCTTGCTGACTTGGTTGACACATGTCGTTTCCCAGTTGCTCATGCAGATGATCACTGGAATGTCTGGTCCAGACTTGATTATTTACATAATTCATAATTCTTGTTAGACCAAGATAGAAGCAAATGAAAGTTTCTTTCTGTTGTGAATAATCAATGGTCAGAAGATGTAGTTCAGCATGTCATTGTGCCCAAATGTAACAATTGCTGTTCATAATAACAAACCACTACCACCCCCCCTCTCTTCTCTCTCTCCCCACCTCTCTCTCTCTCTCTCTCTCTCTCTCTCTCTCTCTCTCTCTCTCTCTCTCTCTCTCTCTCTCTCTCTCTCTCTCTCTCTCTCTCTCTCTCACATACACACACACATGTGTTCAGGCATGGATGTCACTGTATAAATTTATAAATCTTGAACACAATGTTGAATCCCTTTTCCTTCACCTACAAAATTCTCCATTACAGTTGTCCAAGTTCGAGAAAATGGAAAGGCAACAGTTTCTTTTATCTTATAGACCTTGAGAATAAACACAACTGATGAAAATATATGGATGTCAATTTCTTTATTATAAGGAACACAACATTTCAGAGCATATTCTGACTCCTTCATCACATGCTGTTGACATCCATATCATTGTATAAAATAAGGCCCCTCCGACCGGCCGAGACGGGCTAGATTTCTGACTGATGGTCTAAATTTACAGCTTGCCAACCCGATGGTCTGGTAAAAAATTTAGATGTTCCATATACCTGAGTAAATTCACTTTATCTTGGTGTCTGGTCGGGTTAAATTCATTTTGGGCAGGTAACATTTTGAAGTTACCAGCCCAGATGTCTGACTGGGTTTTGGGCTTATTTCATACACTGATCCATATACATATATTCCCACCTTTCATGTGTATCACTTCTAAGACTTAACAGTTTCAATGCCTATAAATCCCCTTTCTGTGATTGTAACACATTTCTAAACCTTCGGTATGGAAGCAATTATGTCAGAGAAACAAATTTTTAACATGTTTTAGCAACTTTCACATATATTTTTATTTTATTTATATTTTATTCTCCTTTGATATAAAAGAAAATATCTTTCGGCATTTCATTTTTTGATATTATTTATAATTCCTATTAAAACTTCTGTTAAAAACATTCTAAATACTTACAATGGCCTTGAGTTTTTCACAGAAATACATTGTAAGGATGAACGCTGCTTTTTGTTAAAAGAATTCATGTTCTTTCCGTATGTGATGTTATCAAAGTCCTGGATTATCTTACTGCATGAGCACAAAAATAAGTCGATCAATGGACGACACACTTATCTATCACCCAGAAATACAAATGAAGTCTGATAGTTTTATGGTCAGGGAAATCATTTATCTGTGTGATAGTAAGACATCCTGATCCCCAGTTTACAGAGTTGATAGAGTTTAGCGTGACATAAGTCCATCACTCTTACATAAAATTAGCACAGTATTGCAAATATGTTTACTTCATGAGCATGACTCAGGGATCCACGTGGCTACCCTATTGGTACATGAAATATGGCGTTGTGTGTATATTGTATTCTGGACCAGACAAACCAGTGATTGCTAGTGTGAGCAAGATAAATGCTTCTGGGGTTATACCAATGTATACCTAGCATTAACCTCCTGATTCATTCAGTTGCCTGCAGCTTCTTACAGATCCCCCAAGGTTAATTGTTGATAGTGTTTGACTTTTTAAAATTTGTTTGTCAAACACATCAAGTTAGTGTGATGATTTTTTCAAGAAATGTTTTCGACGATTTCTGTTTTAGTTAGTTGCACTCGTAATATTTGATGGAGATATTGTTAATCTTTCCATGATCTATAAAAGAGATTCACATATGTCAAGTGTATATTTACATAGAATCAAGTATATATGTACATAGAATGACATACCTGGTTATCAAAATTTGTGTTGTGTGGTGTTATAACATCGAAAGAAGAAGAAGAAGAAGGGTTTATTTTGTATAAAGGCCATACAACCCAGAGTATTAATCCATTACCACTTGTGTCTGATCTTTGATATCTGATTTGCTGGTTTAACCTGAGTGAACCAGTGTTTACTTAGGATCGTAAAAGGGTTTAGATGCAACCAAGATGGCTGCCAGAACAAATATGGCTGCCAGAGCTAAGGAGAAACATAACAGCCATGTTTTTGCTATAACACAAAAATATAAGAGGTTTATGGAAGTACTTCATTGCTTGACAAATTTGCCATTGTACCTGTTCATATAGAATACCAAAGTTCAAGGTAACATGTAGAACATCAGCCAGAGAAGCAGTCAATATCGGTGTTACATTATTGATTCTAACAGATTTATATCAACAATCAAAAGATTAATTTTCCCAATGCATTTTAAAATATTATCAAAGCGTAGTTACTGATAATCTTTAAAATGTCTTTATTGAAGATTGAATCAAGAGATAACTACGCAGCTTTAATGATGATGTCACCTGGAGACTATTAATCTCTAGTCCCACACCTCAAAGGTCCACTTGGTCCACTCCAAGTATGATGTAAATCAGTTGCTAATATTGGTATCAAAAGTTCTCTAGGGTTATGTTGGTAAATATGTCAATGTTAATTCCACATGATTTCTTCCATGTAAACTAAGTTTGTTGGCCTGATTATACAGATTTAAATGTTCAAATCCTGCTACAGTTGAAACATTTCAAGACATGACGACACAGCAAAAAATATATCTTTGCCCCTTTCTCTGATTTCTACCTTAGATTAGAGATCCTCCAGCTAGCAAATATATTTCTTGGTTGATTGTACATCATCATTCCCCGGACAGCATGAGATATTGCTCGTGATATTGTCTGTTTGTCTGTTTCAGTCTCAATTAGTCACCATGGTTACAGATCGATGTCATAAGCTACTCTATGTTTTGTATGGACACTGAGATATTTTATGCTTTGATGTAATTTGACTGCATCAGTGAACTTACTGAGCAGTGGATGTATTTTATCAATTTGAAAAGAAGCTGCTTATGCTCAGTGCCATACCAAATTCAAATGCTATTTGTATGAAAACATATCGAAACACTAACTCAGACCCCAACTGGATACTCCTTATCAATAGTTAAGTAGTTTAGGGGGTAGTATTGTAAAACAGTAATATTGAGGAGTGTTCCATTAAACAATAAACAAACTGATTTTGTTGTAACTTGTTGACGGAACACCTGACAATGGACTTCGGCCTTGAATTGTGTGACAGGATAAATGGACTGATATTTGATGAGTCTATCACAGTTTACTCTATCATCGACCGAACTAGATTAACATTGACTGTTGCTGTTGGTCTACTGGTAACGTCACACACATGAAATCGGAAAGTCAAGGGGGATAATTGCTCTTTCTCACTTATTTTATGAGACATACATACCCATGAAGATCCAGGTTAGAATTGGTCTGCAGCAATGCCTGTCATAAGAAGTGAGTGAGTGAGTGAGTGAGTTCAGTTTCACGCCGCACTCAGCAATTTTCCAGCTATATGGCGGCAGTCTGTAAATAATTGAGTCTGGACCAGACAATCCAGTGATCAACAGCATGAGCATCGATCTACGCAATTGGGAACCGATGACATGTGTCAATCAAGTCAGCGAGTCTGACCACCCGATCCCGTTAGTCGCCTCTTAAGACAAGCATGGGTTACTGAAGATCAACAGTCTAACCCAGATCTTCATGGGTTGTAAGAATTGTGGTCAGGTTTGCTGACTTGGTTGCCACTTGTCATTGTATCCTAATTGCGAAGATGGATGCTCATGCTGTTGACCACTGGATTGTGTAGTCCAGACTCAAGTACTTGCAGACCGTCAATGAAATATTGCTGAGTGCAGCGTTAAGGAACAAACAAAGCAAACGTAATGGTGTATGTGGTTCTTCACAAACCTGGCTTTAAAAGTCCAAACAGTCATAT